TGTATTGTCATTCCTGATGATGATAGGAGATACCTATCGAAAGCTCGAATAAATAAATGTGATTTTTGTTAAAAATCAAGTAATGTTCTTCGTAGCAGTCTTATACTCATTATTTTCTTATTAAAATCATAACCGAGCGATTTTACTTGCTAGGGTCAAGCTTTTATGATCGTATTTTCTTAGTCCAGTTTTGCTTCAGTTGTCAGTTAACAAACGCTGATGGAAACTCGATCGAGTGCGCAACAAGAACTTGAGAGCACAAATGGATATCTCAGCGATAACAATACAGTAACATATACCTTTTTCGTTCTTTCAGCGATTTTCTGTTTATGGCATCTCTTTTCTGAAAAGACGGGTGTAGAACAGAAAAACATTTATTTCTCTGCCTATCCGACGAAGTCAATCGGAAAACAGAACGTTTCGAATAGTTCAGTTTACAGGATTTCTTGATTACTAACATTGATCGAGGGTGATCGACAATGTGGAATCCGACTCCGACTTGGGGGTGTAGGTGGGTGTGGGTAAGAGCAAGAGTGACACCCACACCAACACCCGCTGATGACATGTTAGCATCCCACATTAACGCCTAAATCCTTATCCTCACATCTCGAATCAAAATATTAACAAGTTACATGCTTAAGTCATCTTTAAAAATCATAGCTTATTAATTTAAATTTATTTTAGGAGAAAAATATTTTTGAAATTATTTTTAGACCAGGAGGTCCAAAAAATCTAACGCAGCATTTTATTCTTTATCTCACTATCTCTATCTAGCTATATCAAAAAAAAATCGTCGATCAATAGAATTTTGCGCAAATTTTGAGTCACAGACTTGTTAAAAAGTTTAACCGGAACGAGAAACATGAAACATACGAACCTTGTGTTAACGAAAAATATGCTATTTTTCAGATCGAGATTGGAAAGAAAAAGCAACTGCTTTTCAACTTTATAAAAAAAAGAAAATGATGACTGCACACGAACTTTACTTTCACAGTCACTCAGCATTTGCTTTTATTGGTGAAGCTGATTGATTTTAGAGCAAACAAAAATAACGTTGCATCAGTACACCTTCATTTTTACATTCAAACTATGATCTTGCAAATAAATAAGACCAAGAAAAAAAGATTTTTCTTCAGACGAAAAGATTCCTTGCCGCTTCGATGAATTTTTCATTCGCAAGCAATCTATTGTAACGAAGTAATCATTAACCATATTGCTTTCTAATGATTAATATTTCTTGTTGACTTAAAGAGTAGCAGCCTGAAAAATTATTTTTTCTATTCGGTGTAGCATACGAATAAAGCATCGAATATATTTAACATAAGCTCAAGAGTGAATTCTTCCGGTGATGCTTCTGGCAAAAGCAGCTAGGATTAAGCATGTACGAAAAGGTATAAGAGTAATTTCTGCACTACAAAGTGGGGGGGGGGGGGGGGGGGGGGGGGGGGGGGGGGGGGGGGGGGGGGGGGGGGGGGGGGGGGGGGGGGGGGGG